TTCCGTTCTCCGTTCTGCAGAGCTCCTTCACACTGCAGTCGCTTTAGCATTTTTGCAGATGCCAACGAGACAACTGGGGACAGCATCTATTTCAAAATGAAGAGCAGACAGAAATCCACATGGATTCCAAGACAGGTTCAAGCAGAATCTTCTAGTTTTACAAGTGTTCATTTTAAAGCTCAGTACACCCTAGGTATAAAAGAACATGTTTTCCTTAAAGATATAATTCCTAAAAAAGAACAAAGTTCTGATGCATACAACATGGAGAAATTTAAAGGCATCATGAGCGCATGCCTGTAATCCCAGCACTTGGGAGGCTGAGGCAGGAGGATCGCTGTGAGTTCAAGAACAGCCTGGGCTACATAGTGAGTTCCAGGTCAGTCTCAACTATACAGTGAGACCCTGTCTCAAAAAACCAAAAATAAATAAACAAACAAATAAATAAATAAAGGCATTATGATAAGTGCAAAAAGTCTGACTCAAAAGCCCAACTGTATGAGTCCATCTTTATGACATCCTGGAAAAGGCAAAAAATTATTGCCAAAGCAAACTGATGGGTGGCTACCAGGGGCTGGAGGTGGGAAAGGAAGGACTAAAAAGGGGCACAGCAGGATCTGGGGGAAGAGGAATGGAACTGTTCTGTATCTTGCTCACAACTACGTGAAGTGAACTAAGTACTAAATGGTAAATTTTTACTGTGTGTAAATTACATCACAATTTGGAAAAAACACAATTATGAAGAATGCAAATTCCTAATAATGCCCTGGAGCTAGAGCTTTCAAACTGTACTCTAAAAACACCTCAGAGTGCACTGAGAGCATCAGGATGGGCTTGTGTGTAGAGGAAGCAGACAAAGGCCTGCACATACCACTGCCCATACTCTCATCCGTGCAGCTCCAGGAGTTCTTGTTTTAACATATATATCTTTAAAATGCTTACATTAAGGCCTTATTTATGGAAAAGTATAAATAATCAAAAGAAAAAGAGGAGGAAAAAACTAACTGCTTTAGAGGCACAATAACATCTACTATAAGGACACTGTACCCAGAGGAACATATTGTTATAAAGGGAAGGTGTCAACATCAGGGCACTGAAAGAAAAGATCAGGTAATACCTGCACAGAGGTTTGATTCAAGTCACTTGAGGCTGGGGTAAGACAAGCAGAAGCAGTCCCTAGAAGGCCCCAGGGCCTCCACATCACTATGGTCCCCTTTGGTTTATATAATATAAATGGATCATTTTCTTTCTTTCCTTCTTTTTTTTTTAAATTTTTTTATTTTTTTTTTTTTTTTTTTTTTTTTTTTTTTTTGAGACAGGGTCTCATTATGTAGTTCAGGCTGGCCTCTAACACACTATGTAGCCCAGGCTGGCCTCAAACTCCTGGCAATCTGCATGCCTCAGCCTCTGAGTGCTGGGATTACCACACCCAGCGCCACCACACCCAGCCTGAGTGGATCATTTTCACTAGGGAAGAGTTCATAAAAACCTCTATGATGAGATAAAATTCCTTTCTAGTTTCAAATAGCTTCCTTCTGACTTCACTAGACCAAAGCTTTTCTATTACCAGAAAATCCTGTAAATTAAAATATTAGATCTTAATAAATAAATGTATAGGCTAGGCACAATGAGAGTCACACCTATAAGCCCAGCTACCCAAGAGCCTGAGGCAAGAGGATTGTAAACTCAATGTCAATTTGAGCAACTCAGTGAGACTTTGAAAATTAAAAAGAAAACAGCTGGGGATGTAGCTCAGTGGCAGAGTGTTTGCCTAACATATGCAAAGCCCTGGGTTCAAACCGTAGCACCCACAAAATAAAAATTTTTTTAAATTAAAAAAAGAGAGGAAGAAAGAAAATAATGAAGGGAAAGAGGGAAAGGGAGAAAGAAAATAAAATAAATATTGGTAGAAGTCATAGAGAAAACAATCCACTAACTATAAAGGAACAAAGATAAGAACTGGATCAAACTTTTCAAAATCCACACAACCAAGAAGAGAATAAAGTATATAAAGTATCAGAAAAATAAACCACTAACCTAGACTCCTACAAAATATCCTTCAAAAATGAGGAGAAAAAAAGACTCTTCCGAACAAACAGAAGAAATTGTAGGGGGTGGCTGGTCTTGCCACAAACGTTGAAAGGTCTTTAGAGGCTAGAAGAAAATTGTTATGGGTCAGAATTCCGATGTACAAAAAGGAAGGAAGAGCATCTGAAAAGATATGTGACAGTAAAATAAAATCTCTTGGGCCGGAGATTTAGCTCAGTGGTTCGGTGGTCTGCCTTGCAAGCGCAAGGACCCGAGTTCAATCCCCGGTAACAAAAAAATAAAATAAAATAAAATCTCTTATTTTTCTTATTCTTGAGTGAATGGATAACAATTTGTCTAAAATAATTAATACCAACAATATATTCAATTATGTATGTTTACATCTGAATATACAGATGTAATCAAAGATACCAATGGGTGACACAAGAGAGGGAAAGGAGTGATTAGGATTTTTTAAATATATGAAATATACAATGTTATTTGAAAACAGACTTGGAATCATTGTAAGTGCATATTGTAAACTAGTGCAACCGCCTGAAAAAATAAAAAGTATGTGATATGCTAAGAAAGAAGAGAAAATATAATGCAAAGAAAACATTTAATTAAAACTACAAAAGAGGAAATAAACAAAAGACAAAAACAGGAACAAGGGCAATAAATAGAAAATAGTAATAAATATGATAATCCAAATATATCAATAATCACTTTGAACATCAATAGTCTTAAATGAACCAATTAAAGAGAAGGGCATGTGACGAAGCTCAGTGGTAGAGTGCTTACCTACCATGCATGAGGACCTGGGTTCAATCCCCATTATGAGGGAAAAGAGATATAAGCTGTATCCCATTTACAATAACTCATTTTAGGAGCAGGGGATTTAGCCCAGTGGCACCACGTCTGCCTGCCTCGCAAGCACAAGGTCTTGATCTCCAGTACCACAAAAAAAAAAAAAAAAAAAAAAAAAAAAAAAAAAAAGAAAAGAAAGACAGAGTGTGAGAGTGAGTGAAACTCATTTTAATAATATAAAGACACAGATTAAGAGAAAGAAAAATACACCATGCTAACACTAATCAAAAGAAAGCAGGGCCAGATACATTAACTGCACAGAGCAAACTTTGAAAGTGACCAAGAATAGGAAACTTATCAGGGATAAAAAAGGGCATATTTAAGAAGACATAATATCCTTAACCTGTATATCTAACAAGAGAGTATGGAACTCTGTACATAACACAATCGTTCAAAGAACTGCAAGGAGAAATAGATGAATACACCATGAGAGTTGGAGATTATGGTGCCTCTCTGTCAGAAATGGACATAGTCAATAGGTAGAAAATCAGTAAAGTTGAACTCAGTATCATCATCTATTAACTGGATATACTGACAGCCACTTCACCCAACAACAGCAGAATATACATTCTTTTTAAACTTACATGGAACATTCATCTCAAGAGACTAACTCTAGAGCATAAAATACATTGTAACATATATAAAAGACCCAAACAATATCTGCTCTTAGACCAACGAAATTAAACTAGAATCAATAAAAGGAAAACATCTCAAACACATGGAGGTTAAACAGCATATTCTAAATAACACATAGGTCAAAGAAGTCTCATAAATTTTTTAAATATTTGAACTAAATGAAAATGAAAACACAACATCCAAATTTGTGAGATGCAGAGAAAGGATGCTTAGAGGAAAATTTACACACTAAAGCATATGGTAGAAAAGAGCTAAAGATCAAAAATGTTATACACATGTATGAAACACTACATTTAAACCCAATATTTTATAAAATTAATAAGCACTAATAAAAAATACTTTAAAATGTTTAATAAAACTGGGGTAAAAAGATCTAAAGATCAGTCACCTTAAGTTCTCACCTTCAAAAACTAGAAAGAGAAAAGCAAAGGCTAGGGATACAGGTATCATGCATAAGATCCTGGGTTGAATCCTCAACACCAAAAAGAAAGAGAAAAAAAAAAAGCAAATTAAATCCAAAGTGAGCAGAAGAAAGAGCAAAAGTCAATGAAATTGAAACAAAAAGCCAACAGAAAAAAATCAACAAAACCAAAAGCTAGTTCTTTGAAAAAATCAATAAAACAGCCTCTAAACCAGTGATGGCGAACCTTTTAGAGCTTTCAATGATATCAAACACCTTGCTATATAGCATGTGTTCCAAATGTTCACCACCAATGCCCTATGCCAAGCTAAGAAAAAATAGATAAGCAAATTATTATAGCAAAGAAAAAAGAAAAGGAAAATGTAAACACCTGAATCTTGCTGTCTTACCAAGGCAGATCCAGATCACCAAGATCATACGTTGTGCACATATCCTAGAGCTTTTCTTGCCCTTCTAATTACTAGTTCTCTTTTGAAGCAGTTAGCAGTCCTTACCATTGCATTAAGCTGGGAGTTGCTTGCCTGTGTAATGCCAAGAATATTGGTGGTGTGCATCACTTCAACTGAAAAACTTGGTAGCCAGCTTGCAATCCGGGACCCTAAAACAAGACCAGCAAAACTTTTAGAGCCCTAGTCATTCCCTGTGTTGCTACCCTAGCTACCCATTCTATAATAACAACTGGTATTCACTGAGGCTTACTTTATGCCTTTTGCTCCAAATATTTCACATGGATTAGTTCATTTAGTCCTCACTAAAACCTACATAGTAACACCACCCATTCTTCTCATTTTATTCTTCTAAGCGATACAATTCTCATCACCTACCCACTTAAATCTCTGATTCCTGAGGCACTAGAAGTTAGATAACTCAGCCAAGATCACACAGTTTAATAATGATGGCCAGAGGTGAAGCCAAACAGGGTTCTAAAACTACTAGTCTTTCCTGCTTTCCAGTGGCCTTTGATCCATTCGACCTCCAACCCATTCTCTGGGCCTAGAATCTAGGAGAGGTTTCTTTAGTTCTTCAGCTGCCACAACAAATATCCAAATTCTACTCATGTGAAGACATCATTGTCACAATTACTTCTATGAAATATTTTCTCCTGAATAATCTGATTTAAAGATTTGACCTTGGTTTTGTGACTCAAAATTATTTTCAGAGTTCTATAACATAGGTCTGTGAATTGACAATGTTATGAAGGCTGCTATTTTTCTATGAAAAGGGAAGCCCATGATACAATGCCACCAACTACTGGCATTAAAACAATTCAGTATCAAGCCACACATTTAAGAGCGCTATTTCCTCTTCCTCCTCCTTTTCCTTTTTTTTTTTTGGTGGTATTAGGAATTGAACCCAGGGCCTCCTTCCTGCTAAGCAATTGCTGTATCACTATACTATAACCCCCAGTCAACCCTTTTTATTTTGAGACAAGATCTCATTAAATTGCCCTGGTTGGTGTGGAACCTGCAGTCCTCCTGCCTTAGCTTCCTGAGTAGCTTGGATTACAGGCATGCAGCGTCATCACCCAGTTTGGCTTTGTGTAAAAGAAATACTAAGGGATGGAACATAAAATCAAATTAAACAACTATTTTAAAGGTTTTGCCAAATAAAATGTACTCATTTAAAAAATGGATGCTGCTAGACATGGTGGTACATGTCTATGATCCCAGCACCTAGGAAGCAGAAAGATCACTGAGTTCAAGGCATGCCTGGGCTACACAGTAAGTTCAAGGCCAGCTTGGACCACATAGCAGGACCCTATCTAAACAAGCAAATAAACAAATAAAACCCAATGAATAAATAAAATAAATGGTTACTTATTTTGTGTACTTAATAAGGTCAAATAAAGGTGATTTTAATTATATTTTTAGTAATAACAATTCATTAAAAAATGGCCAGGATCAATCTCCAAGATCTGCTAATATATTTCAAAAGGTCTGTACTTAATAGAGGTCTTAACTAACAGCAGCCACATCAGCCCCTTAAAACCTCTACAGTACCCATATCCAGACAGGTAGCCTTCATTTACCCTTCTCAAGGACTTTATTCTCCACTGCAGACTTTTCTTTAAGGGAATTCACCAACATGCCACCACTCCCACCATACTCCATACCTGGAAACTCAAATCTGAATAGTCCCTTTTCCTAATACAACTCCAAAGATGTCTATTTCATAGTAATAGAAATGTAAATTCACAGAGGCAGTGCTACTGGAATTGATGGACTTCAACAAAAGCTCATTGTATATAAATTAAAGAGTAATGATCTAAGGTAGTCAAGGCCTTAGAATTTTAAGTGTTATTTTTATTACAAAACTTTTAATACTGCTGTGAGGCAGAAAGTTCCAGCTCCAATTTTGCTTCTGGTATTCATTGGTATTCAACACCCTTCATTAAATGCTTAAGTACTCCTCAGATCCAATAAGTTATTAGCAAAGTTAATTATTAAAATAAGTGTGCTCCTTAAAGACACGGTTGATGAAATTTTACTATCTCTATATCCCAACTACCTGTCCCCAATAATAACACAGAAGCTAGCAAAATACTCAGCACAGAGCACAGATTAACACCCCAGCTTTATCTATCTATGCATCCTGAACACCTGCACTGAAACTGAAATATTAAATTGCTCTGTACAGGACAATTTATGCAAACAGTATTCCCTCAGGGGAAAAAATGCAATGGATATAGTTTCAGAGGTTGAAACCAACTAACCATCAAAGTGGAAGAAGTGATTGTGTTGGTTTAGGCGAGGTCTGCCTTCAGCGGCTGCGACAGGAACCAAGTTCTCATGCAAATTTTCTCCTTGATGGTCTTCCCTGGCACGATTATTGTCAGCAATATTTAGAGACATTCTGCATGTTGGACAGGAAGTGTCTTGTTCTAGCCAGGAACGGAGACAGGAACTACAAAGAGCACAAAGACAGACATATGAACATCCTTAGCATATTTTGTAAGAATTCAGCAGAAGTACAACGAATGTATTACACGTGTTCCAATTTTACATTCTATTAATCAATTTATTTATTTATTTTTTGAGGCAGGGTCTCACTGTGTAGGTCAGGTTGATGTCTCTCAGGCTGACCTCGAACTCAAGGTGATCCTCTTGCCTCAGCCTCATAAGAGCTGGGACTATAGGTGTGCACCACCACGACCAGCTTCCAACTTTACTTTCTATTTATCATTAGGAAGATGTACATGTTGAGAAACATTTGTCCCAGTGCTAGTACATCCTGCTATGAACATGAATTCTTGACCATGATCAGCCAACTACCAAATCTCTAGAGATGACTCCCTTTGCTAATATTTCACAGCATGACTCACCATCCTCCTTTCCAACACTATTTGGCTATTTCAAAATCCATATTGCTGAATCATCTGACACCCTGGCTTCTTATGACCTTCACTCCGCTATTCCAATTTTTTTTTCTTTTACTCTGCTTTAGCAATATGTCTATAACCTTGGCCTTGTCTTCAGAAACTTGACTTCAAAGATCTCATTCATGTACCAAAGCTCCTCTCCTTCCAACTCACTTCTGTGGATCTAATTTGCTAATAACACATCCAGTTTTTCATCAAGTGTGACAGCTTCTTGCTTCCTTATTCCCCGCCTCAACCAGCTCATCTATAACCACTCCCTCACATTCACCACCTCTACTTTCTTTTCTTTGAATTGTTCTACCAACAAGGCTGAAAGTGTCTTTTTCCCTTCTCAAGAGATGATAATGTCCTAATTATAGGATATGCTCAATAAATAATTGTGTCCTTAGGAGAAGGGTACCAGAATATGAAGCAGAAAATCTGAGATCTGGGCCTAATTCAACCACTAACTAGCAGTGTATCACTGGCAATCTTCAATATCTCTGGACTAGGCCTCACCAGTGAAAAATGAGAAAGCTAGGTGAAGTGATCCCTAACACCCCTTCCCATTTTATGAGAATTCATTATATTTTCTAAGAGCTCAAGGAAGCACTGAATACAAATGCTCTGAGGTGTTTTTTTTTTTTAAATATGTGAATGTGCATAAAGTTATAAAGGAGAGCCTCACCAAAATGTGATGACCCTCTGAGAAAACTTTTCCTTATAACTATAATAATCTTCCAATGAAAAAGTATTTCTCTTCTATATGATATTATGGTGTAATTAAATATTTACTGGACTCTAAAATCTTACAAATCTTAATAGCAACAAACTATCTAGCTACTGTCTGCTGGAATCTGGGCATTTGGCCTTACCACAAATTAAAATGCATTTGCCTTATATTAGGCTTGTCCAATCTGCCTTACATCAGCCGTGTCCACAGATAGCTTCCCTTCTCTTCTAAATGTTATAATAAATATTTTAAAATAAAGTTTTGTGGTATACATTATATTACATATTTTTATGTTTTATGTGCAAGATAACTCCTCTTCACTCAACATATCCCAGAACCAGCCTGGCTCCATCCTGCTTCCACTTTATTACCACAGCTACAAAGTGAAGCAAGCAAAGAGGGTGTCCTAACAATGATTTGCTCATCCCTCAGAATGTAGAAACGTGCTTTAAAATTAAATCTTAATTTTAAACATCCACTGGGTCAAAGAAGAAATGAAGAAACCACTTAGAAAATACTTTGAGACAAATAAAAACAACAATATACAATATTCCAAAACTTTTAGGATAAAAAGAAAGCAAGGGCTAGGGATTTAGCTCAGTGGCACCATGCCTGCTTCACAAGCGCAAGGTCCTGAGTTTGATTCCCAGAACTGAAAAGGAAAAAAGAAAAAGAAAAAGAAAGCAACACTGAGGCAAATTCATATATTTTAAAAGGCTTAAAAAGAAAACAAATTCTTAAATCAAAAACCCAACTTTATACCTACAGAACCAGAAAAAGAGCAAAGTAAACCCAAAGCCAACAGATACCATAAATGGTCAAAATGACAGAGGAAGAAGACCGAATGATGACAAGGGCTGGCACAAGAGTAGAGTGGGGTCTTACTAACAGGTTCACAGTTTAAGTTCAGGAAGATGAGAAAGTTCTGAAGATGGATGGTGGTGAAGTTTCACATAACACTGCGAATATACTTAATGCCACCAAATGTTATGTATATTTTACCACAGAAAAATACATTTGAGAATGAACACTCAAAAGCAAAACAAAATCATCATAAAATACTACTTTCATATTATTAGGATGGCTATGAAACAAGTAAAGAATGTGAAAAAAAATGGAACCCTCATACATTGCTGATGAAAATAGAAAATGGTGCAGCTGCTATGGAAAAGTTTGGCAGCTCTTCAAGAAGTTAAACATAGAATTATGATGTGATCCAGCACCCATTCCTAGGTATACACTTAAAGAAGTAAAAATAGTGGTTCCCAAACGTTCACAGCAGCATTATTTACAGAATGGCCAAAAGGTAGGGGGAAACCCAATGTCCACCAGTGGAAATTTTTCAACTGTTGTAAAATTATTTAAATTCAGCCATAAAAAGGAGTGAAGTATGGCTACATGCTACAACTTAGATGACTTCAAAAACATGCTAAGTCAAAATTGTCAGCTACAAATGCTTATATATTGTATGACTCCTATTACATGAACAACTGGAATAGGCAAGTCCACAGAGACAGAGACAGAAAGTGGATTAGTGGTTGCCAGGTGACAGGGGAGGGAAGAATGAGGAGTGATTGCTTAGTAAGTGTGGGTGTTACTGTGGGTGATGAAAAGTTCTGAAATCAAAGAGAAGTGGTAGTTGCACAAGACTGTGAATAAACTAAACATCACTGAACTGTTCACTTTAAAAGTTCATGTTAATGAATTTTGTTATGCTGTATTAATAAATTTTTCCTCAATCAAAACATTAAACCCTAAAAAAAGTAATCTAATCTTATGCTGAAAACTATTTCTTCTGGGCTAAAATACACTCTTTTTTTTCCCGGCTATCCTCCATGCTTGAGACTGGAAGGTTTTTGAGAAATGTGTGCAAATTCTCTGGTCTTCTCAACCTTATCAAACAGTACTTCTACATGGTAATTGCACAAGTTGAAAAACTAAAAGAACCTTGACACTTTTATTCCTCTTGGTCCCATAGTCAATCTAACCCATATCTTTCCAATCTTCCTCAATTCTGTCCACGTCTCTCCAAAAGCACTTCCTCCAAGCAGTTCAAACTGCTCTCAATGTATTCCAGAACCACTATAGCAGTTCATTCTAGTCTTCCTAACCTCTTCAAACTACAGACCTTATCCATCAGCCCCCAGTGAAATTCAATGGCATGCCCCCCTTCTGATGGTACTATGGACCCCATCCAGCTTCTTCCTATTCAACAAACACTCTTCCCTCTTCCACTCTGGGCTCTAGGTACCAGCTTCTCTTCTAGTTCAACACACTCAGCTGCCCTCCTGCTAGAGATCCTCCTACTGTTCTACATGCTTGCCCACCTTTCTCAGACCTGGTTCCTGCTTATCCTCCAAGGTCATTTCTTCCAAGTTTGAGTCAGATATCTTTGTTACTAGCTCTCCAGAGCCATGTTTCTTTTCTATAACGCATTCTAGTGTCAATTTATACATAAATGTGCCCAGTTAATTTATGTTTGTCTCCTTTATTACACTGCAAGCTCCACAAACACAAAGACTACACCTGTTATTTCTATTTCACTCCCAGAGCCCAACACAGTACCCAATGCACTAAAAAAAAAAAAAAAAAAAAAAAAAAAAAAAAAAAATCTGTTGATACATTTTTTGAATGGAACATTCCAGTTCCAAAGCCCTTCTAAATATTATAAAGGAGTATAAAAACAATTTGGGAATATAAAATAATGAAAAGATGATTAAAACTGTAAAGATCAAAATGTTCTCAATATGCAATACTGACCACAGATGCAAAGGGTCAAAAGATATCTGAGGTCCATCACTATCAAAACATCCAATCTGTGAACAGAATGATACAGGCTAAACAGAGCCCTGATGCAATCTTTAACAATCAGTAAGAGATTACTTCAATCTTTCAGATTTACAGAAGAGGCTATTCTGCAATCCTTCCTAATAGTCACAGTTTTACACTCTTTAGTGATTCTGGTTTGGTCCCTATCTCAGCCCACTTCTTAGGAATGTGTTTGAATGCTGCTCTTAGGCATATGCAAAACTCAAAACTGTTTTTTTTTTCTCTCCCTAGTTACATATTAAGCTGCTTGAAAACAAGGATTCTTCCTGGAGCCCTTTCTTTTAATCTTACACCCATATTTATTATACTTCACAGCTTAAGTAGTGAAAAAAATATGAAAACAGCTACACACCCAGAAATCAAGATGGCTGGACACAAGTGAAGAACAGGCCTAAGGACACAGAAAGAGGCTGAGTGACAGAGAAGAAGTCAACACACTACCAGTTTCATAACACTAGTTTCAGCAACATGACCAGTAATGTTCCCAATTCTTACTGGGATTAGCCTTGAGCCCAGGTACAAAAACACCCCTGGACAGAACACTAGTCCCATGTGGCCCTGCACAAAGCTCCTACTTGTGGAAAAGATGTCCACAGGGCAGTTTCCTTGCAGCCTGCATGGAATCCCAGCAAATTGCACAGTCATCATTATTGACAGCCAGCTCCTCTGGAGTTGCAACTGCAAACCTGAAAAAAAAAATAAAACATGTCCAGGCCAAATTTCTGCCAATTTCACACACATAATGTACACCAATTCATAAGTTTCACCTTTAGTCACCTTTTAATGGCACAATTACAAAGGAATCTTTATTGGTTAAAAAAAGTTTTGGTTTCTCATCAGAGCTTTTCAAAGGGTAAGTGAGAAACTTATATACAAAAATTAACTTTGGGTAATAACAATTCCTGTTAGTAATGACTTCAAGAAATATTTCTGGGAAAAACAGAGGAATAAGACTCCCAGAGAGCCAAACTATCTCCAGGAAACAAAAAGAACACCCATTAATCTTGTAGCTGCAGGATTGGTTTAGCCTCGGTTGGCAAGTGAGTGCCATCTTCAGTGAGTGTGTGCATGTTTAAACATACATTATGCAGAACAACTGAGACCCTCCTTCACCTTCACAAAATAAAGAGGGAAGCTTCCATTTAATTATGATGATGATAAGATAATAAAAACCTAGTATCTCATGGAATCCTCCCAAGAGTTCCAGGAAGAAGGATCTATTATCTCTATTTATTTTGTTTTGTTTTGTTTTGAAAACAGGGTCTCTATATGTAGTTCAGCTATATAGCCCAGGCTGGCCTCAAACTTTCAGTGAGCCTCCTGCCTCAGCCTCCCAAGTACTGGGATTACAGGTGTGCATCACATCTATTTTACAGACAAAGTAGAAAGAGCACAAGGAGTTAATAAGGTGCCCCAAATCAAGCAGCCACTAAGTGGGATTCATAAAGAGGCAGTCTGACTCTAGACCCTGTACTCATCCTCATCCAGTTAACAGTTTACAAAACAAGTTCTAATACAGTCTAGGATTTGTTTTTATTACAGAGCTAAAATGAATAAACTTGAGTAACACTGATTTGTGCTTATTTACCTGGCTTCCATGTTCCCGACCACACGCAGATAGTTCTTGTGCCGACGGATTCGACGCTGTACCTCATGAAATAAGTAACGCAGCTGCATAAAAATGACCAGGCTGGCCATGGATAGCCAGATGTTGCCAAATAACTTAGAGAGAAAAAGAATAAAACACACAATAAAAATGAATGTGAGCTCGCTAGTGATAAAGATACATGGTACAACAGAAGTTTTTAATACGTGGTGAAGGTGAACTGGAACAGTCTTTGAGATAGAACATGCATGAATTGATTTCCTTTCCTTAAACAATGCGATGCTCTTCAGCCTAGATGTCCAAATGACAGCAATCCTTCCTAAACAACTAACTGGAAATTAAAAACCTTTATGTAAAAAGATATGGGTCTTAAAAAAAAACAGTCCCGGGCCAGGGATTTAGCTCAGTGGTGCAGCTGCCTGCCTCACAAGCTCAAGGTCCCAAATTCGATCCCCAGTACCAAAAAATAAATAAAATAAATAAAATTTTAAAAACAGTCCACCTATGCAATTATATAGAAGAAAATATGGAAATATAAAAACTGCCTGCAGAAGTTAGACTGAAAATTTATACGATATAATATATATATAGTCACAATATTATAATATGCAATTATATATTATATTTTATATATAATAGTTTTGAATGTCAAATACTTGGAAAATGATATTGGATGAGTGAAAAAAGCAGGATATAAATACTGTAAGAAAATTAATACGTAATTTTAAAAAATGTAAAGTTGTAAAATAGCCAACAAATATAATCATAATAGCCCACTATTGGGTTTGGTTAATTAAATTATGATATATTTATATGATGAGATTTTTTTTATCAGGAAGGTATTAAAATACTTTACAAGAAATGTTGCTAGTATAAAAAACTGTCTATAATACTTTATTATAGAAAAGAAATTTAGCCAATCATGGTGGCACCCACCTGTAATTCTAGCACTTGGGAGGTGAAGCAGAAGGACTGCAAGTTCAAATCCTACCTGGGCAACTTAACAAAACCATGTCTAAAAGCAGCCTAGCATGCAAGAGGACCAGGATCCAACATCTAGTACAATAAAAATAACTACCTAAATAAACAAAACTATGTGTCTAAGATAGGATCTCAATTTATGAATATATGTATTTAAATACCTAAAGAAATCAGATAAACATGACAAAAACATTAATAGTTATCTGTGGGCATTTGTCTTCCCCTTTTAAGGGGAAGAAGAAACATTTTTAAACAAAGTAATTACATGCTTTTGTTTTTCTACAGTATGTTTTCAAACTGTAGACTTAGAAATGTTATAGCTAACCCAATAATTCTTAAATACTAATTGATAAACTTATGATGTAAATAAATTGCCCATCAACTGTGTGGATTTTCATCATTAGATTGATGAAGCAATGAAGCAGATTTACATAATTTCTGACACACAAGACCAAGATAACAAGAATTAAGTAGGAGGATTTTATTTTTAATTACAAAGAGGAAAAATTTATAAATCCAAGAAGTAGCAAACACAGCAGGAATTCCTATTACCACCTACAAAGTAAATGCTAAATGTAAGAAGCCACAGAAAGTATAGGGAGATGTATCACTTTAATTTTATGCTAAAAAAAATCATCTGTATTGACTTGGTCAACAGAATTTACTAACTCTCATAGGACAGTAATTGCCTCTGGGGCTGGGCACCATCCAAAGAGGTTCCACAACACTGCTGTGTATACCCCGGCAAACAAGGATGCACAGCCACATTCAGTTTTATAACTTTTTAGTCTGATTCAAAATGTTTCATTCTTAAATATACAAAATCAGGTTTCCAATTTTGAAAGTCTCAGCTCTGTCAGAGCTCTTTCTGAGGGAACTTACCAACATGTGAATGTGGTGCACGAGGTCTAGGGACAACAGAGTGAGTTCCATGACAAAATCAGTGTAATAGACATAGGTTCCCTTTCCTTCCCAAGTCCCTTCATGGTTTAGGTCCCACAGGTGAATTACATATCTGCATCACAGAGGCAGAAAAAGAGAAAAACGTTAATTTATCACTGTTATTGAATTCAGTTTAAATAGTTATATGTATGTATTTTACACCCATTACATCTTAAAGTCAACTAATCACTTTTCTCCCAAATTTCTACTCACCGTAAAATTACATGAGCTGTCCTTATTGTCACAAGAAGAGACTGTAAAAGACAAATTGAATTGCTTAATTCAATGAAGAAGCAGACTGTTCAAATTTACCTGCTATTTACTTCTCCATTTCTAATTTCCATGGAATACCTTCTAGAAACTCATCTTCTATTAGGCCTTTTCCTGTTAACAGATAACCAATTACACTTGTCCATCTCCTAGGGATTTCTTATATAATCTTGAGGTTTGTCCCCATTATTTGACTATCATCTCTATTGATATAGCAGCATGTCATCATAACTGATTACTCAAAAGGGTGTCTACTTGGCTACACTATAGCTCAAAATATAAATTTAGGTAGTAGTATCCTAGATAGGAGCACTCACTCTCTCCCAAATGCTCTGTGTACTCCCTTTGTCCACAAGAAGAGAATGAAGGAAAAAAATAAGACTCTCATGGGTTTTTTTAAATAGAAATTGATATATGTGTGTGTGTGTGTGCGTGTGTGTGTGTGTAACGAAAAACCTCCTCTTGGGCCAGGGATTTAGCTCAGTGGTTCTGCCACCTGCCTCTCAAGTACAAGGTCCCAAGTTCGCAGAATAGAACTGTTTCTATATATGAGATTAAACTTTCTTTTATAAATGGAAAATATTTTACCTGAGAAACACTATGAATATAAATATATCTTAGTTCAGAACATCAAATCTATACACAATAAATTGCCTTAAAAGAATAATCAGCAACAAACTGAAATAAATACATGTACTATAATATGACCCGATAGGCCTGACTTATACTTGTTTATTTTTAGGTGTATCTCTTCCAATATGTAACCTAACATTAACTGAAAGTTAAACTTAAAAAAGCAAACATTAGCTGGGCACAATGGCACATTCCTATAACCCCAGCATTTCAGGAGTCTGAAGCAGAAAGTTAAGTTCAAGTCCAGCCTAGGGAATTTAGCAATTTAGGGAAATCCTGTCTCAAAAATAAATAAATAAATAAATAAATAAAGGCTTGGGATGTAGCTCAGTGCAAAAGTCGAATCCCCAGTAACAAAAAAAAAAAAAAAAAAAAAAAAAAAAAAAAAAAAAAACAAAAAAAAAAAAACCCAAAAAACAAAAGACCACAAAACAGCAAACATGAATACCATTTAAATAATGCTTTTAATAAAGTATATCTAAATGAAACTAATTAATATAAGTCACTGTAAGGGGCTGGGGATTTAGCTCAGTGGCACTGTGCCTGCCTCAGAAGCACAAGGTCCTGAGTTCAATTCCTGGTACCAAAAAAAAAAAAAAAAATTAAGTCAGTGTAAAAATATTTTAAACAGATCTTTGATTATTAGCTCATTTTATTTATTTTTCTTTTCGGTACCAGAGATTGAACTCGGGTCTATGCGCTTGCAAGGCAGGCCACCAAACCGCTGAGCTAAATCCCTGGCCCTTTATTAGCTTATTTTAATATTAATTAGTTCACTGTATCTAATACAGTGGTCCCCCCTTTAACCACTGGAAATATATTCCAAGACCCCCAGTGGATAATAAAACTACAGAAAGCACTCAATCCTGCATATGTTTTTCTTATGCCTTGAAGCACACTATATAGCACTATAATCAATCGGACCTTCCATGTTTTATACCTGGTGTCTTCTTTATACAAAGATGCTTACACATTGGGGTCATCATTAAATAAGTAAGGGTTATTTGAACACAAGCCCTGGGACACAATGACAGTTGATATGACAAATGAAATGGCTAGCATGTGACTGATGTATGAGTGATCTCTAAAGAGATAATTCATGCTACAGGCAGCATTTCATCATGCTACTTAGAATGGTGCACAATTTTAAATGTATAAATTATAAGGCTAGGGATGTAAACTCAGTAACTGACCACAGAAAGCCCTGGGTTTAATCCCCAGCACCAAATAAAACAAAACAAAGCACTTATAAATTATCTATTTCTGGAATTTTCCATTCAATATTTTTAGATAGCAGCAAGTCACATATCCCTGAAACTACAAAAAGTGAAACCATGAGAAAAGGGGGAAATATTCTACTTTTTAAATTAATAGCAATTATACATGAGAGTTTGTTTTTGGTTTAGGGAAAAAGCAAATATGCTGAATAAATATAAGAACATATAAAAAATTGAGGTTTATACCAAACAAATTAGTATCTTCCGGAAGGTTTCAAAAAGTAAATCTTTTAAATTTAAAAATATTCACGGAGGGGCAAGCATTAATTTAGTCTGCTCAGGAGGTGGAAGTAGGAGGATTACAAGTTCAAGGCCAGCCTGGACAACTTAGGAAGGCCATCTTGAAATAAAAAAATAACCAAGGCTGTCATCAATTCTCAATGGAGGGGTAAATAAAGGTGTGGTTTGTGGGGTTTCTTTTATACAATGGGATACTGTTCTGCCACAAAGTATGAGATTCAGACATTTATAGCTGAATGGCTGGACCTTGCAACCACACTCTTAAGAGAAATAGATCAGACAAACATGTTTGAATACTGCACTGTTTCTCTGGTATGGGAGACTGAACGTGGAAGGACTGAAATGTGTGACAGATATTAGGAAATGGGAAGAGAATGTTCAAATAGGAGAGGTAACGGTAGAGCAGGGGAGGGAAAGAGGAAAGAAGAGACAAGAAAAAAGTGAAAGTACAAGGAAACAATGGAAGCAGAGCTGTTGTACATAGGAAGGGGAGGAGGTATAAGGAAGATGGGATAAAATTAAATTTAAAAAAAAAGAAACTCTACAATTAAACCAAAAACAAGGTGCACCCATAATCCCCAGAAATCCCTCTAATCTCTCCAATCTGAGTCATTTTCTCCCTTCATGCTTAAATTGTTTCATAATATACACTCAACAGCCTAAATTAAGTTTTCTTTTCTTTTCTTAGTTTACATTTGGACACTGAGTATCTGCAGGGACTTTTCATAATAAGGAAATAAATTTATCATATCTTTAAAAACATTACAAGGCCTATCCCCCCAAAAAATTAAAATTAAAATAACAAGGGCTAGGGACACAATTCAGTGGTAAAGTGCCCCTGGGTTCAAGTCCTAGAATATCAATCAACATTTTAAAAATTCATGGGAGAGTTGAAAGTACAGCTCAGTGGTAAAGCACTTGCTTAGCACGCACAAGGGCCTGAGACTGACCTCCAGCCCAAGAAGAAAGGGAGGGAGGGAGGAGGAAGAAAGGAAGAAAAAAGAAAAAATTTTCCTTCAAAATAATGAATATGGTTTACACATTATTCTGTAAATTTTTAATTTAAAATAAACAATTAGATATTAATGTAAAATAATTTATTTCATTAATAACCACCATCAACCCTTTGTTTATAACATTTAAAAAAAAATAACTCTTCTGAATACTTTGGATTTAAAGGACTTGCATTGTGTCATTTGCCACTCTAGAATCTCAAACATCAAAAAATGTTCAGTTCACCCTCTATGCTTCAGGGTTCCCATTATAAAAAGGAATAATAAATGAATAAGTACATGTAAACTATCTAGAACAATAACTGCCATAAGAACTATATAACGGGTGAAAATAATTTTTACAGATTGTAGCAAGGATTACATGAAATACTACAAATAAAACCATTTAGCACAAATTCCCAACACAAAAAAGGAACTCAGTAAGTGCTTATTAAAATCAATGACCACATATCCAGCCATCATTTCATGGTTGGAAGTAATCTAGCTCCTTGAAAATACACAGAAATATAATCACACCAAACCTGTCTGGCATCCTACCTCTGCAGCCATGAAAGCCAAAGTGTGCATTCCATGGGTGTAGCCAGTGACACAGCAGACAACCGCTAATCCGCAGCAGGAAAGTAGCATAGCAATCAACAGAGATAGGACTCGCCCATGGCTGCTCATTGGTGTGGTAGGAGAAAAGGAAAGCTGAAAGGGACAAAAGAGAAAGTCAACTTATTCTTCTTCATGACCATGGTAAACTGCCTGAGAAGCTCAAGATCAAGTTTAGCATCCTTGCTTGGAGGGTCTGTCCCAACCATGGAAAAGCATTTCAATACCTATGGTCAAAATTCTCCAATGACCTAAATATGAATATGAGCTGTTGACAATTATAGATCTTTATCATTTAATTTACCAAATATAATGATATGCATTATATTTTCATCTCATATTCTCAAGGATCTCCTACCATAAACCTCTAGAAACAACATTCCAAGAACACACAATTGTCTCTTCTAACATTCAAGAGGATTCAGTAGTGTCATGTTCTGGCGTGCTTCTTGCTCAATCTTACTTTAATCTTCCCCAAAATTCACCTGGAGGGTCTGCCTAGTCAGTTGGGGCTAGGACAACTGAAAAATATTCAAGTACAGATTTACTACTATGATAATGTTATGTTAATATTATGCAAGAAAAAGCAGCAGACTGAAAAAGAGGCCTGGAGCTGTGCCTCCTAAGGTAGTAGGTATAGATTACAAACCAGTTTGGAAAGTTAGAAGCTCCTACTTGAGAAAGGAGATGGGAGTTGAATTATAGAGAAATAAAGGCTTTGAGAGTGATATTAACTCACAGAGAAGTGCAAAAGCCACCAGGTCCATGAAGAATAGATGAAAGACAGAGGACAGAGGCTTCAGGATGGGTTTAACTGCAGGCACATATTTACCTGGGCCCTATAAGACTGGTGCAGGAGCACTAATGAGGGAGAGTTCACCTGCACAGCTCTGACCTAAAGTCAGAGCCAGATCTCGTACTAGGCAGGAAAGGATTCACTTCTCCTGAGATCAGGGAAGTTGAGAGAGCTAATTCAGTCCTGGCCTAGGGGGAAACAATATAGTCAGAAAGAAAAGCTCCAAGAATCCAGGTAGGAAGGAGAACAGATGGGAGGAGACTAGAATAGAAAATATCCAAAAGAATCGGGTTTTTTTAAGTGTATATATCAAGATTTCCTTGCATAGTTCATGCAAGTAAACTGAGTGTATCTGGGCTACAACACAACACGCTAAACTCTATGGGGGTGGGGAGGAAAGAATCTCCAGTGGGTTCTGCATCCCTGGGCTGCTGCAGAGGTTTCTTAAGAAAGCAGCAGTGGGGACCTGACCCAGAAGTCTTTCCCTTTAGTCTATGAACATACATGCCAGGGCTCATTTATATTACACAATTCAAATCTGGCAAACATGTTACTGGGTAAGCAGAGCTTGGCTAAAAACTCACATATTCAAACCGGTCCTTGCAGAGCTGAACCATCAGATGCAGAAAAACAAGTCCAGCAAACCAGAGACACCACATAACCACCTCTTCCATGGTCTGGACATTCAGCACACCAAAAATGAAAATGAACTTGTAGAAAATAAAATTCCAAAACTTGTCTTTCAGGTGCTAAAAAGAAAAATATTTATAAAGGTAAGTACCATCACATTGAACCCATTTTAAGAGAAGGAGGAAGTATTTTACACTTAGCCTTCCAATACTTGTTCAAAAGAAAACAGAAAACAATAGCCTGGTGGCCTGATGGTACACCCCTGTAATCCCAGTACTAGGGAGGAAGAGGCAGGAGGATCAGTGTGAGTTTGAGGCCAGTGTGGGCTAGCTATATAGTGAACTCAAAGCCAGCCTGAACTATATAATGAGACCCTGTCTCAAAAACAAAACGATACAAGCAAGAAAACAAAAGACGAAGAAAAAAAGAACTTTGAAAAATAAAAATGAAACACCCAGAGAATAATTTATAAACTTTGGATTATAATCCTGAATCTCTTCTGTGATTGTAGTCATTAAAAAAGTAGTGATGTTGGTCCAATATTTCACATATTAATTAAAATAGCTATATTTTCTACTCATGGTAGAAAAGAATAAAGGCAATCAGTAATACTTCTGCCCTCTAGATTTTAAACAGTAGAAAAATATTAAACTTTAAAAAACTCTTTAGAATAAAAACAGCACATGAAAGGGCCAGGATTTAGCTCAGTGACACTATGCCTACCCTGAAAGTGCAAGGTCCTGAGTTCAATCCCCAGTACAAAAAAAGAAAAGTGCATAATTGCCAGCACATAATCAATAAAGCACCATGAAAATATATATCATAACATTTTTATGTACTTTATCTTCTTCCAGTGTACAAAATACATTAATTTTTGAACACTGCTTCCTTTCACCTATTCATATTGTGAGAATCAAGATTAGTGAATATTCTGAGTATTGCAAAGTACTTTTGTTTTGCTTTGAGGTAATGGGTGTTGAACCTAGAGAATGCTGGGCTATATCCCCAGCTTTTTATCTATGTACTTTACTTTGAGACAAGGTTTCACTAAATTGACTATGCTAGCCTCAAACTTGGAATCCAACTGGGATTACAGGTATGTGCCACCCTATGTAGCTACTATGCTTTTTTTTTTTTTTTTTTTTTTTTTTTGGTACCAGGGATTGAAATCAGGTCTTGTGCTTGTGAGGCAGGCAGCAGAACCACTGAGCTAAATCCCCGGCCTTTCTATGCCATTTTAATGGTTACAGATGGATATAAACTTTTTAATTTTCCAAAATTCAGAAAACACTGTAATATCTTTGACAGACTTTTTACTTAACATTCCTGAATCAAAGATTTAAAATGTTTTAAAATGATATGCAGTAATAATCACTTAATTTCTAAAGAAGTGGTATAAATAATGTATACAAAATGTGTATTTGTACTCTTTTCTAAACTGAAGACTTCCAGTTTTAAAAATCCTTACCACCCTGAAAACACTAAGAAAGGGGGCATGAAGGAAGTCTAGTCCTGTCATATGTTAAAATGTACAATGATCCAGCCATGTATGGTATGGATCGGGTTAAAAAAGTAAGAATAAAAGCATGACTTTTACTTATAATTTTGAACCATGTAAATGTTTTACAAATTTAAAAAATAAAATTAAAACACAAAAAAGCAAAACTGAAAATAAATGAGTCTACATGTATAACAAACTGACATGGCTACTTAAAAATAAGAATTATTTAGGGAATTTAAAAACACTGAACTGTGACTGCACCACTTGTGCAGAGAGAAGAAAATGAACTGGAGAAAAACATCAAAGAATATCCCCTAATTCTGTCCACCAAAAAGAAAAGACCCCTTCCCCTCAGCCCCTCAGCAAGCAATAAGCACATATAGGTGGTATAAACCTCGGTTCCTGAATAACATTCCCCAGTAAAACAAACTAGGAACCTTTGGTGCTTGTGTTTCCAAACGTGGGACAAAAAAGTACAAGATGAACCTAGGATGTTCTGTGCCCTGGTTTTGAGTCTTGGTTCTGCCATGGCACGGCAATGTGATGTTGGGGCAATCACTTCTTATTATTTTTCTCTGGCTTCCCCATCTACAAAATGGGTTTTATATTTCATAGAAGCATATATTTCATAGAACTGAAGGGGGATCATTAAGTTAACGTATACAAAAATACTTTCAGAAAAGCCATAACAGGCATTGAGTGCTTAAAAACAAAAACATGTTGCTCTAAGCCTCTACTTAACATCTCAATATTTATCCCATTTTAGTTAGTTAATGTCTTTCCTTCTAACATGATTCTATTTCTTGAACTTTAAGCACCCACAGGGTAAACCCATGTCAATTCTGTAAGTCAAAATAAGCCAACACAGAACAGCATGAAAGATGTGTTTTATACTGAAAAAAGTAAAAATAGAGTTAGTAAACAAATATGCCCATTATGATTATGTCTATATATACCAAAATCTATGAAATACTCTAAGGTTGTGTTCTCTGTTTATTTTAACCTGTTATCTAACATTTTAGGAAAAACAAAGTGTTCCAGGTCCACTGGTATCAGATCAGTCTACCAGCTGTTAGTTGGCCTATCTCTAGCCTGACCAATTTCTGACTCTCACAAAAAAATCTGAAGAAAGAAGAAAAATTTAAAGGAAGTATCAAAAGGAGCTTTTGTATATATTTTTTAAAAGTATGTTGTATTAGTTTCATCTGGGAGACCTCTAGAGCTGAAATTTTGGAGAAAGTACTCAATATTCAGTAAAGAAAAATTCTGGGAAAACAAAATAGTCCTATTCATAACAGTACTCAAGGTCTCAACTACACAGTAACCACATTTCAGCTCTAAACTAGGTTTTGGCTAGTTTTTATTAAAAAAATTTTTATAAAAGGAGTTTTGGGTTGAAAAGGGCAGATAAAGAGAGTTTAGAACACTGCACTTTGAAAATGCAGGTAAACCACCGTACTCTAATGTACAGTGTCTCTGTGTCTTATCACTGGGATGAGATAAAGTAAAATATGATTGTGCTCTTACGTCAGTTCTAAATTCTTTAAAACACATCATTCTACTCACCAAAATTCTCGGTGAACTACCAATCTGTACGGTATGCTTATACATAATTCATCATTGGAACTTTCTCTGCCCTTATGCATGTTCTGAGAGCCATTTTTAACAGTCTTGCCTGAGACAAGGGCAAGTCACCTAATTTTCTGGTTACAGAATAATGAATCTTAATTGACTCTCCCATAGGAGGGAAAAAAAAAATCAGCAAATCCTTTAGGGAAGAACCCATTTATTAAAAATAATATTTATGATGATTAAAGCTTAAAAAATTAATGCTTCTTTATAAATATTACCTTTTTAAAAAGTGATAGGGAAATAGCCATAAAGGACAACAGTGAAACAACTTGGCTATGCTTAATATGGACTATGGATTAGATATAAGTCTTTTATCAATGCTAAATGTCCCAATTTTGATCACTGTGCTACTGTTATATAAAAGAAATGTCCTTACTCTTAGGAAATACATACTGAAATATTTTGGGATAAAGGGTCAAATGGATTAGAAAAAACTGTGCAAATACAAATAAAAAGTAAATAGGGCCAGGGATATAACTCAACCATAACTCACCTATCTGGCAAGCACAAGGTCCTGAGTTCAATCCCCAGTACAGGGGGAAAAAACAACAACAAATAAAGAGTGAATAGCAAATATGAGAAAACATTAATAGTTGGTGAATGTGGATAAAGTATTTATAGGAGTTCCTTGTATTCTTAGAAGCTTTTCATATTTTTGAAATTATACAAAAAATAAAGTTTAAAAAACAAATCTGAAAAAAAACAAAATAAACAAATCTGGTACAAGAATCTATCCACTGTTTGAACTTACCTGTCTCTCACTCACTCGAAGAGGGCCAAACACAATACACTGGATAAGCTTAGCTACCAACATCAAAATACAGCAAGCAGTATTTACCAGAACCTGTACACAAATCAAAGGAAGTTTAGTTCCTCCTGGTGAAAAACAAAAGCAGCCCTAAAAATTTCATATTAGGAATTCAGCCATAATTTCCAGTGACTGAGTCTTTCTACTTCTCTACCAGTCCAAGATAAGTACTATTTGAAGGGCACACATGATGGGCAGCAGGAGTGGGTGATGAGTGGGAAGGAGAGGCACCAACTTAACAGTTAATTCACAGTTCTTATTCCAAAGTGCACCCTCCAATAGACCACCTTACCTTCTAGTCTTTACTGTACATTCTGCACTATATGTATAAAATTGTAAAGCATCTTAGAGACTTCAGGTGTAATCATTTCCTATACTTTTTTTATTTTGATAGTTTTTTAAAAAACTGTTTGAAAAATGGAAGTTACCATGATCAGTAAAATTCAGCACCCAAATATCCTGCCCTGACAAATAGGAGATAAGTATAGAAGGGTTTATGATCACAAAAATCATAAGACCATAAGGGCTGGAGATATAGCTCAGGAGTTCTGCACCCTGGTTCACAAGCGCAAGAATTTTTTTTAAAAAAAAAAAAAAAAAAAAAAAAAAATCACAAGACCATGGATATTGATAACCAAAACACACACACACACCCCACACACACATTTTGATATATATGGTCAAAGGACAATCTGCCAACCAAAAGATGACTGTTCTCCTATGCTTGGCATCAGCTTTGAGGAAAAGGTTCTGGAACATTAGAGCAGAAAAGGACGTGTGAAACAGGAAAGAGGAAGAGAACTAGTAAGAGGGCTAAGAAATAAAAGGCTTTCTTCTGTCCCTTCTTTCTGTAAGAAAATGTTCTTTTTTAAAATAATCAAACAATAAATCTCAAAGCTTATAAAATGGAAGAATGGGATGTCCCTGACCAAACGGTGAAGGCAGCATAGCATGTTATTGATACTGAAATGATTTTGAAAACTCTAAATGACCCAAAAATACCAAAAGGGCCTTAAGATGGACATTAAAGGATTTTTTTTTAATTTCCATGTATCAAGACACATGCCTATAATTCCAGCACTTGGGAGTTTTAAGCAGAAGGATTTCAAAATCCAGACCAGCTTGTCTATACAGCAAGACTCCATCTCAAAAATACAAAACAATGGGTGCCACCCCCAGCCTGGAAAGTGCAAGGTCCCATGTTCAATTCCCAGTACCAAAAAAAAAAAAAGAAAAGCAAAAAGTTTGGTGCTAAGGAAACTACACCAAGAATATCAAAAATACAAAATGCCTGCCTCACAAGTACAAGTCCTGAGTTCAATCCCCAGTACCAAAAAAACAAAAAACAAAACAACAATTGATTTTCAATGAAAGCAAATGAAAAGGGACACTAACTCAATGAAAGAGCTGCTTCAAACTTTGATCCACTATGCTCTTCTCAACTCACTATCCCCTATACTTTTAAAAGCAAATGACAATTTGAGAAAAAAATGAAAGAAAAGTCACTTAAGAAAGCAAGCTCCCTAAACTCTTTCCAGGTTTTGCTTAATATTTCATACCATCCACCCCTTGGTACAAAGCATAATGACATAGTGTAATGATTCATTACACAAACTATAGGGCCAGGAAGTACAAAATGAAAAAAAAATATATATATATATACACATATGTATCATTGTTGTTGTTTGTTTCGTCTTTGTTTGTTTTGAGGCAGAATCTTGCTTTTTCAGGTTGCCCTTGCAGCCCAGACTGGTCTTGAACTCCATGCTATCCTCCTGCCTAAGTGCTGGGATTACAAGCATGTGCCACTATACCCAGAATATATTTTTGAAGAGTTGAAACCAAAAGTTTTGATGAAAAAATAAATAGTTTTGGTACTTAAATCTTTTGAATAACCCTTAAACTAGTTAATAAAAATATTCCATACCCCTATGTGTGACTCCCTCTGTATCAGCTCTATTCAAATTAAGTTCCAGAGAACTGAGAATGCTTTTTTTTTTTTTTTGGTACCAGAGATCAAACTCAGGACCTTGAGCTTACAAGGCAGGCAATAGAACCACTGAGCTAAATTCCTGGCCTGAGAATGCTTAATTTTTAAGATGATGGAACAGATATTACAATAGGCTTATCTTTATTGTGCTCTCCAGTCAATAACCTTAGTCATACGCATGAAGAGAAATGTTATAACATAAAACTACAACTTTCGTGCCACATCCTACAGGGTATTTAAATAAACCAAACATCCCCCAAACTAATTACAACAGAGTTTTTAAAAATAATTTTTCCTAATTTGCCTATAGGTATATGCAACAAATTTAGCACTTGCTCGAGGGAAGTGGGAGATTTAAAAAATAAGGAATATCTGGACCCTGAACTCCAAGAGCTTTTAGAATTTCCAGAATACACTAAGCAACTAATGGTTCACAAAAGCTCAATCAAGCTACTATAAGAATTTTGAAGAAAAACAATAAAACTCAGGGTTTCTCAGTTATTTTCCTACCCAAAATAGCAACCTGCAGTATCTTTGGTCACAAAATAAAAAATAAAATATCATTTGTTATTTCTCAATTAAGATCATGAAAAACATTTTTAAGTTAAAAAATATGGTACAAGTTTCTTTGACTTATTCCCCAAAATGGTTTGTTTCTCATCATCCCATTGATTATTATTTTGTACTTTCATTTAAATAGCAGATTTAAAAGTAAGCCCAGCTAAGAAGGAAAAAGAGGTTTGAGAGAAAGTACAGCACACTAAAAAGGGAATTTTTTGTGGTATTTACATACAAACTACAAACTACAAAGGACTGGAAGCAACTAAAACTTGTTTTAAAATTATAAACAAAGTGTTTTTTAGAACACCTTAATGATTATTTATAACTGTTCTATGTGCTCTCAGAGAAGTAATTTCACAGATATTATGTCTTTCCATTAAGCACAGAATAACTTCTCAACCTGCTGCAACTGCAAATACTAAAAGAAACTACCTGTAACATTCTTCATTTAAAAACAAATCTAGTATCCGATTTCTTACAGAATCAACACTTCAGCCTGGATTTAAATCCACAGATCTCTCTGGCTTTGGTCCCAACACTGCAAACAGAAATTAATAGTGAATAAATCCACAGAACTGTGGAACAATACTTCTCACCTCCAATAATCATACTGAGACTCACTTCCAATAAGCCTGACCTGAATCATCACTTTATTCACTTAGAAAATAATAAAATGTTAACTTATTTTATCTGCTCAGTAGGGCTAATTTTTCCTGTGAGCAGAATACAAAACAAGCTATAAAGAGTTCACTGAAAAATGAGAACCAAGACCTGTCATGTAAAGGTACAAGATCTCAATGATGAATGTAATTGTACTGTATACCTAAAATGTACCAATAAAAGCAAAGAGAAAAAAAAAAGAGTTCACTGAAACACTTCATATTATCAGAAAAGTAAAAAACAAATGTCTATCATGGCAGCCTGTTGAATAGTGTAACACTCATTCAGTGGATCCAAACAAGGCCAATAGAACCAAGTCAGCAGCTCTATATTACTAGTATTACATGGTACCCCCTAAATAACTGAAATATCAAAGTTACTTCAATTTAAGAATAAGACAGAAAATTCAAGATAAAAATTCAAGATAACTTTCAGATTACTGAAAAAATGCAAGATATACAAATGTAATTAACTACACTACACTCTGTATAAAAAGAAATACATATGCATACATATGTATATAACAGGCAAATGTGAACTGTGTCAAGGACGTAGAACAATCTGGGCATTTCTTAGGCTTCCACTTAACACCAATATTATTTACAAGAACCTGATAATGCCCACTTCTGACAGAGAGAAGCAGGTGGCAGAAAGAGAGGAAGTTCTACTTTCACTGTCTGTCACTTTCATATTCTTTGACTTTTGAAACAAGAACCTGTATCATCCATTTTTAAATTAATTTTGAAGTTCAGAATCTACTAAGCTAAGCTAAACTGACTAGTTCTGAAATTCCACATTATTTTTCTCAACATATAAGAGAGAGATGACTAACAAACCAAAACCGCGGTATAAACCACAAGTTAGTCAGAGCTCCACACATGGATAATGTTCACCTTCTTACCATCATAGCATGATGACTTCTTCCACCTCCTGTTACCCCTGGGTACTCTCTTTCACCTCTCAACCTCCCTTTTCAGTCAGAAGATCCCAAATTATTTTTAAGTCAGGCTCTGTCCTCCCCCCGGGCATTCTGAGTCCAACAGGCTGTTTTGTTTACCAAGAATACCCTGCCCGGCTTGGAAACCTTCCTATCTTCCAGGGCTAGGGCCACCTCCTACTTTCAATGACTCCTTCCCTCACACAATTCTTTTCTTCCTCCTCCAAATGCCATTGTTTTTGTTTGTACATCTATCATCACTCATATTTTGCCTTAAATATGAGTTACTCTGAGATTAAGAGGTAAAGTGTTGTTAATAGCTACGCCTTCCAGAGTGCCCAAAATAGCACCTTTGAAATGTTTTGTAATTTAAGAACTCCTGAGATGCTATCACTTATTCTAAATTGTGCTCTACAAAGGTATGTTTTTAAAATCCCACTATGCTAAAAAAAAAAAAAAAAAAAAAGGATTTGCAAACTGACACAGGGATCAGTTTTGTTCTGTCTTGTTTGGCCTTGGCAATGTTTTTGACAAAATCTTATCTAAATACCGATGAGTGAGTTCAAGGAGCATCCATTTTGACAAAGGCCCCACGTGTTTATTCACTAATGTTATGTGCCAGGCCAATGGAGGTTTCTGAGATTATAACTTCTACTTTTCTAAAAGTGCAAACTATCCAATGCATGATGAAGAAAACTTACAGTGCAGCTGGGCATGGTGGCACACGCCTGTAATCCCAGCACTCGGGAGGCTGAGGCAGGAGGGTCGCTGTGAGTTCAAGACCAGCCTGAGCTACGTAGTGAGTCCCAGGTCAGTCTCAACTACATAGTGAGACCCTATCTCAAAAAACCAAAAAAAGAAAAAAAAAAAAGAAAAGAAAACTTATAA